CCTGGTGCCCGGCTGACAAGTGTGTGGGCACACCTGGTGCCCGGCTGACAAGTGTGTGAACACCCCTGGTGCCCGGATGACAAGTGTGTGAACACCCCTGGTGCCCGGCTGACAAGTGTGTGAGGACACCTGGTGCCCGGCTGACAAGTGTGTGGGCACACCTGGTGCCCGGCTGACAAGTGTGTGAACACACCTGGTGCCCGGATGACAAGTGTGTGAACACCCCTGGTGCCCGGCTGACAAGTGTGTGGGCACACCTGGTGCCTGGCTGACAAGTGTGTGAGCACACCTGGTGCCTGGCTGACAAGTGTGTGAACACACCTGGTGCCCGGCTGACAAATGTGTGAGCACACCTGGTGCCCGGCTGACAAGTGTGTGAGTACAACCTAGCTTTTCACAAGGGACTGGAGCTTGAACTCGAGCGCTTAGCCTGAGCTATGTCCCGAGCCCTGAACATCCATTTTCTTGAAGACATTTGGATTCCAGAATTAAAACTTCATGCTTTAAGTAAGATATTTATGGTTTTAATGAATAGACTAATTCTCTCGTGTCTTTCTACTACTAATTTTTGGACTTTATTATCAAGGCTTTCATTTCTGTTATTTTCTACCTCATAATTAATTTCTTTTCAGTTTTTTATTTCATTAATATTTCTCCTTTGATTACAGACTTAGCCAACATTATTCCTACAGAATACAATTTTAGCTTCATATTTAGGTTTCCCTATAGATTGTACTTATCACACTTTGGGGTCAAATGTAGTCCTAGCTCCAACTCCTGGGACTGTCTGTTTCCACTAGAACAAATTTGCTAGTGTTCCCACTTACTTAAGGCCATAAACTTGGCATTTAACTCCCACTACACAAGGCTTTCAAGGTACCAGTTCTTCATTGCATCCACACACTTACAGTGCAGTGGACTAGAGTTGACGAGCACCTCTGAGTCTGGGATCATGGAACTTATCAACTGACACATGCATCAGAACATCACAGGGTATTTCATAAATACACATTTTAATCTTTTTATGTATAAGCTAAAATTAAAACATGAAGCTACTAGTTTCAATCCAGCTCCAATAGTGGTTTGCAGTCTGATTGGTTTTACTGTGTAGATTTAAAATAAAGAAATAAAAAACTCTTAAGTAGCAAGTGCTGGTTTCTCAGCAAATCTGGAGAAGGTGGGAGTAAATAAGAAGCAATACGAACAGTATGTACAAGTACCACACCTGGCGTTTCCACGCTCCATTGGCATGGGAAGGGAGGGGCTTGCTTTGGTACATGTTTAAAACCCCGGGAGCTGGTCTATAACACTAACGTGCCATGTCTGGTTTTTACCTAATAGAACAGCCAGTTCTTACAAAGCAAGTAGACAAACCCCCAGTGTCCTCTGTCTGTGTTGCAGATGGGCAGTGTAGGAGACAGTCCAGGAGCTACCATCACATTGTAGCACTAGTCACAACTTCCCAGGAAAGCTAACTTGACTTCATGACTGCTCTCTCCAAGGGACAACTCCGAGGCTGGTCTGGGAGCCCAGATGGTTTCCCATTACTAGGCTCTACTAACTTCTGGGCTTTTTCCACGGTAAGTTATACACGGGTTATTTTGTAAACCTCAATGTCACATGCCAAATGTTCCTAAGGATTTATCCACTAGGGTATAGAAAAATGACTCAGCAGCTAAGAGCACTTGCTATTCTTGTAGAGGACCCATGTTCAATTCCCAGAACCCATGTGGCAGCTCACAACTGTCTATAACCCCAGTTCTAGGAAATCTAATTCCCTTTTCTGACCTCAGAGTACCAGATACACATGTGGTACACACATATATATGCAGGCAACACACACATAAAATATAAGTAAATCTTTCAAAAGAAATAATTCACTATTTTTAAAAATTATTTTCTCTGTGTGTATGCGTGCGAGAGAGAGAGAGAGAATGAGTAGGAGTCAGGTCTTTCCTTTTACCATGTGGGTTCCAGGGATCAAACTAAGGGATTCCGGCTGGATGGCAAGCACTTTTACTACCTGGGCCTTCTGGTTGACCCTAACTTACTGTGTTCTATAGAAACATTTAATAAAAAGTTAGCCTGCTACAGTAGTTCACCTTTGTTTCCTTCTCCAGCACTTTCAGAGAGCTAAGACATGCTTTCCAACAGCCAGTCTGAGCCTAGCAAAGGGCCCCTTGCATCTATTATTCAACAGGGAACAAGTAGTAGACATTCCCAAATAATTAGGCTGACTAATTATGCAAAGCAGGCCAGGAAGGAGCACCCGGGAGAAAGCTTTTTCTCTCGTCCCCTGAACTCTCAGAAGCTGAGAGGCGAAATCACAATCCTGTGACTTAGTCTGTCAACCTCACTGTATCAAGTCAACAGCAAAAATGCAAGTTTCGAGACTGCTGCTCACTGTCCCAGCACGAGGCTCCTGTGCTGACAGTCACAACTGTGCAGAGTCTGTCTGTAGGCTCACCTGCCACTCAGCTGTCAGTGCACAGTAATAATAGAGCATCCTTCCTTCTGACGCATCTTTTCATCTCAGGAGAACACAGTCAGCGAGCCCCAGTGGTTTTGACAGGATCACAGGTGACTAAAGACAGCTAATGGGGCCACAGTGCTGCAACAATCCATGTCATCCGTACAGCCAGCTGCTGGAGCTGCGTGTGACAGCTGCGTAAGACACCCTCCAGCTGGACTTCAGTATGAGAGTAAATCCAGTAAGTGGCTCCCTATCTCTCTCACAGAGACATCTCAGTACACATCCCACAAGACCTATGCTTCTAGGACAAGCTCTAAGCAGCATGACGAAACACACCACTTTTTATTGCCTGGAAACTCTGTGTGTGTGTGTGTGTGTCTGTCTGTCTGTCTGTCTGTCTGTCTGAATGACCATAAAGAGGCATTCATATCTGCTAAATTCCTAAAAGGGAACACTAACAGCTGCATGCTCTCAGATCATTCTTAGAATTGGATGGCTATCGTTTATCATAAGAGTCAAAGGAAGATTCCAAATGTATACACTTAAAAAGATTACCATCGATACTGACATCATCGTCGCCATCATGGACGCAAAGTCTTACGCAGGGGTCTAAATTGGCCTCAACCTCACAGAAATCCTACTGTCTCGCCCTCTGAGTAACGCCAGCATGAGGCACAGTAAGATGGCACAGGAGATGACCGAAAGCTGTGACTACTGAAACACAGACAGGAATTGGGCAGCAAATGACCAAGGGCGTGAGGACCCAGGACTGAGGAGCTACGCAGCGCGGGAGCAACCTGCAGGCAAGTGCAGCTGAGTGAAAAGGGAAACGCCGAGACAGAGAGGAAGGGCAGCACCACAAACAAGACAGGACGTAGCCTGTAGCAGCAGATGCCGCCGAGAATTGGAGCCATAGCCCAAATGAGGCTGAAATGGCAGAGTGAAACCTGGTCATGGAGATGGCCACCTTCAGTATGGTGCCCTCTCACACAGACCAGTCCTGGAACACGGAGAGCGTGTGTCAAGGTGGGAGGACCGTCTCCGCGATGCAGCTCTGTGACTAGCGCAACTCTAGGCAGGTTCCGTACCTACTCTTTCGTCTGTAAAATTAGTTTCTCAAAGGGTTTGCAGTAAGTTTCATGACAATTAGAGAGGACATGCGCAGCAGTTACACAGAACGCTAGGCTCAGGAGACAGCGCACAGTTACATTAGTGCAGACGGTAGCGCTCACACACGCAGCTTCTAATGGGACCACGCCTTACACGGACAGTGTTGATGGCGATGACGATGATAAGAGGGAATTGTAGAGGTGACACCAGACTTAACAAGCTCATCTGTTTCTGGTAACATCTGACAGCCAAATCAAGAAAGGTTCAAGGTTGCTTACAGGAGAATTTGCAGTTTGAACTCTGGCATTACATTCGCAAGCCAAGTTTTATGCCGCAGAAATGAAATGATTTACTCTTGTCCCCCCCCTCCCTCTCATCCCTGCCTTCCTTCCTTCATCACCAGCACTGACCACACCATCCTGCTAGTCATGTGACTGAGAGCCATTAGGAACTGGTCCAAAGGTTCTGCTGGCTACTGTGGGGTAGGAAGGGTCTTGAGCACGAGGCATGTTCAAGAGCATGAACGTAACGTGTCTCCTCACTTTTGAGTCACCTACACCTGCACACGTCTTTAGAATTCTCACCCATGAACTTTGCGGGATGGAGATTGTCATCTGTGGCCTGCAGACATGACAGTGAACCTCAGCAATTTCTACAGGGCGCACGCTGTGAAGTGGCGCAGCCGCCTCTGTACTGTGCGAGGTACCTGGCCCTGTAACTCTTCTGTGTTTTCTTTAGTCCAGCAGGTATGTTTACTCTTTAAATATTTATATCTTCACTCAAAAAGCTCTAATTTCTTAGGAATATAGGTTGTTTTGAAATGGCTTTATGTTAATTTGTTAATTTTATAATTGTGGAATATATTTGTGGGAAATTAATCTCCTTAAATTTAGCAGTTTTTATTATGTGAATTGATTTTAGTGTTTCTAATATTTTAAAGAGTTCATGAAGAGACTTGGAATTGAAAACTGATGAAATGAATTACATTGGCCAACATTTCCTTTCAGAAGTTGGTGAACTATTTACTTCATTGTCCTCAGAGATAAATCATGACTATAAGATGTTTTTATGAGTGAAATCACGACAGTTTGGGGTCCTACATGGCTTCATTTTTTTGACTCTTGTTTCTTAGAAGTTGAAAAAATAGTTTAGCTCTATGTGAAATAAATGTACCATATTATTAAAGACCTATGGCATCTGCATGGAACAGGTCAAAAAGGGACAACTACAGAAACCGACAGAGGACAGGCTTTTATTAGCCGTGGTGGTATTTCTAGCACAGTAGGCAATTTAGTCAGCTTTAAAGTCTTCAAAGTTTTGCAGTCAGATTTTTCTGGCTTTGGTACTTACAACAATACTCAAAAGTAGTTTTCCAAGGTAGGAGCCAATATCTAAACAGGCAGACTTGGGATTTGGGTTACATGGTGAGGACAGAGGGCTTGCCTAGCACGCACAGCCGAGGGAGAAGGGGAAACAGGAAGCAGCAGGTGTACTGTTCTAGCCGTCAGCTGCTCACAGTGCTCAAGGCTGTCAGACTGACAGTCACGTACACACTAGTTCCCTGTGCACGATAACCTCATAGCAGGCGTATTCTGGACAGCACTGTCTTTGGAAGTGTGGGATTCCTGAGCTAGGCATGGTGGCACATGCCTGCAGTCCCAGCACTTGGGAGGCTGAGGACGGAGGGTGAAGGTTCACGAACAGCAACATCTCTGACTAAAATAACTTCACTTGTCACCTGGTAATAATCATGTCAGAAACAGATTTCTAGAGGACTCATCAGGAGACACAGGAAGAAACCAACCCATCCTAGTAAAAGACGCATGTTGTGTTTTACGTATTGGCTAGTCGATTCTGTCATATGACCGCAACACTTACCAAGTGGCAAAAATGCAAGACGGTTTCCAGCCATGGAGAGCTCGTTGAGGCTGGGCAGCTGGCAGAGATGGCGCGGCACACACCACAGGCGATTGCGGTCCACAGTGAGGTACTGCAGAGAAAGGCACAGGTGAAGCCTCTCGGGCAAAGCTAGCAAACGATTGGTAGAAATGTCTAGTGTCTGCAGCTCCTTCAAATCGCCAACCTCTACAACCAAAACCAAAATTAAGATAAATCGCATTCTGATGAACTGAAGAGATAACATAAAAAAATAGTCAATCCTGCTACAGTTCAAGTAAGTAAAATCAGTTCGCAGGGCTGTTTCCACAGACGCGACGCAGAAGTACAGGACCCAGAGCTGGGCTGCAAGCCACCCAACCTAGATA